TACTCCACTGGTTGTGTTTGCACAGCGCAACAAGAGAGCCAGGCAGGGGCAATTTTGTCACCACAAGCAGCAAGGGAAACTGGGGTCTCTCTCTTAAACTTGACAGCACGATAGTGCAGGAGTTGTTCACTTCTTTGGTCCGGCTATCGGTACCCTTTTCGATGTTTCATTTTTCTGATGCGGCCGCAATAGGTATATGGTTAAAGTTTTCCCTAATTGGTTTATATGTAAAACGAGTCGACGCCTTTTTTCGTACATTCGGTTTCCATCAGAAGCTCAATGGAAGCTAGTTGAAGGAATATCTATCTTTGCTTTTCGGAACGAGATACATAATCTTTCATGGTACGACAGCTTTTTTGTGCCAGACAATTTGGGTTATGCGCGCGCAACAAAGAAAAACGTAGCCACAATTACTCGATTGGAAATACAGAAAAAGCAAATTTCTAGCGAAAACTACAGTAAAATGTTGTTATGAGTCACCAAAGTATTGTATAACACACAAACATGTCCTCAGCTATTGGAGCCTTGAAGTGGAATAAAAAAGGTGAGCGAAGCGCGGAATGTTTCAACGTCGATTCCTCAGGTCGGCGATATATCCGATCGGTAAGGGAATGCTATTAAAACAATATGTTAAGTTAAATAAGCACTAATGAAATACATACGTTGAAAGGGAAATTCGAACGACACAACGACCCATAAGGCATATAAAGAAATTCATCATTGTTAACCTTATCAGTGATGTTCATTTGTAACTAATTCATTTGTAAACGCAAATTACTGCAAGGTAGATGATGGATTGTGTGTCCAGCCACTACATATCAACCCATTCTAGGCACACGTTCTACTCATTGGTTTAACACTGAAAAATTGGTTTTGGTAGTTCCTGTTCTTGAAATCAAATAAACTGCCACCATACGCCAAACATGCGTACGTTTATTAGTAACACAAATATAATACTATTTAAATGCAGCAAAGTGTCTCATTTAGGCATTACCTGTAGTATTTTAAGTGCACGTGAACACGTTCCTTAGCTAAGACAGTCAAACGGAGTATTCACGTAAGGACAAAAGTAACTCGTGTAATAGGCAAAATGCAAATAGAATTCCTGCCTGCTTCGAACACAACGAATGGTTTAAGGCCTTTTTTGCTTTTCATACTCCAATCGTGACCGATGGGCGACAACTAATTAGGTATACAAATTCATCTTTAGATGAATCGTCGATTCTGGTAATAGGCTTAAGACTATTTTGTTCTTTTTTTACCTGTTATTCACTGTCTTCACTAACGTAGGCGGCTTCATTTGTTTCCTTCTACTATTGACCAGAAGGCAGCAAAGGGCTATCATATTTCTGCTGCCGGTCCTACGAGCACACCACTCCACATTCAGGCGGCAATGTCTTTCTGTATAATAATTCGGACAGCCTCCCAACCTACCGGCAAAACGTTATTGTTTTCGTTCGCTGTTTGCAACATGGTACACAGATTTCACCGACTATCAAGCCATTGAAGCAGTGAAAGCACAGCAAACAAGAATTAGCTCGATGTATGATATACCAAAAGCTCCCTCGGCTTTTCCTAGTTGCTGAACCACAACACTAGATAATGCGGGGATCCGTCCGGGTGTCTTTGGGAATACGTCGATTTCTGATGAAACCTTAGTTGGACGCAATCCATGGTAGCGTTCTTTACATCGACTAACTTCATCGACCTAGGCCTTCACAACTATAATATATAATTTGTCTGTATTTTTTCTAGGGTTGGCTAACTGTCGCCACACGGCCATCGCACCTCAACCTCGACGCTTATGACTTAAAGAAATTTTTACTTAGTTTACGCCCGGACCGTGAGAAGAGTTAGAAGCTGCAACGGTGACTTTGAATAGATGGAACGTACACAAAAAAGAGGGACTCTATAGGATTTCTGGAACGTACTTTGAGGATGGTGGTGACTTTTGGAGCCTTCGATGAGGCCAGGCCTTAGTGGGACCTTAGGCGGGCTTACCGTCACCCTAAACTTAAACTTTGATGAATTTGTATCGGGTAAAGAAAGGCCGTTGAGAAAGGAAGAAAGAAGACACCGGGCGAAGAATTTTCGCAGATGACATGCCGCTACTGCTGCCGTCAACGCGTCTCTCTTCACCCCACAGCATTTAACCTTAACAGCGGTGCAACAAAGGATCTGCAGCAATATCAGCAGCACCCCAGTAAGGAGGCTGAACTAAGTCGCAGCAAAATTTGACAAGATTTACGGTGATAGCTGTGAAGATCGCTTCGAAGACAACATACAGCAGAAAGCAGAGATGTAGAAGCAGTGGTAATGTGAATGAGTTGTTCATCCCCAACCAGTCTCAAGCCCTCCGATAATAAAGCCAAGGACCATAGAAGTCGACAGGACAACCCGATTCGAGTACCGCATAACACTAGTACGGGGTGCTCAGAAGCTTAAAAGCCTTATAATATATGAGGCCCCCATTCATCCTAATTGTTGAAATTAACGATCCATTAAAAAAAAATTGTCTTTTGTAGTGTATAATAAATGCATACTAACCAACTTTTGCTCTATCATTGAAGTTACTACGAAATAGCGTGGCGGCAATCTTGAGCATCCTCTTCGATAACTCCTTAGTCTGACCCCTACAACTCTTTGTAGTCCTAAATTGAGATGATCCCATTAAATAGCCGTAAAGAGTCTTTTGCTTTCGATACTCGATAGGTCAGCAAGAACAAGACACCGTCTACTCCAGCACCAACAACGCCGAGTCAGCTGTTAGTAGAATAAAAAGAAGGGAGTCAGAGGGTCTTGGGAGGCCTTAAATGAGCGAAAAAAAACAGGTTATCTGTATCCACGAACAAAGCAGAAGGCATTGCAAAAAGAAGATCAACGAGTCGAAGTGGAGCTGTTGGCAGCAATGGGGAATTGGGGCTTTGGAGCTCTGTCGAATCCAGGAAATGGCTATCCCTCGTACTACGGCTACTGGTGTTACGCGGATTTTCCTTACGCGTTAACAAAAGAAAATGAAATGAGATCGCTGAGAACAAAGGAAGGAAGGGAACAACACTGAATGATACAATATGATATCAAGCAGCATAATGCTAGTAATAATAGTAGTACGCTGCTACTCGTCGTCCTCCTGGATATTCGTTATCAAAGGATCCGCCATCCTGAGCTGCCCTCCGCCTAACCGATAATAACGTATGAAGAGAGCGCTATGCATAAGAGAAATATAGGAATTTTTAGTGTTGTTATAAGACTTAGCGCGGCTATTAAGGGTACAAAAGAGCGACGCCTGGAAGGCCTGTTGCTCTTTCATCATACCATCGGCCGCAATAGGTAGCAGTCTTGCTGCACCGCGCAATCAAAGTGACCGACCTAGCGGCGACCGGACTCGGCCTCAACAATATCGCCGCTACTACAACGCCGCGAACGCTGCTATCCATTCACCAGAAGGCAAATAGTAGCAGTCCCGTTGCCGCCACCGCCTCTGAGCCAGCATTTAGGACATATACAACAAGAAGGACTACAATGGTCTCATGGCAAATATCCGTCCACGCTGTAACCTCAGTTTCGTTCGTCCTATTCCTAGACATTTCCATTGCCAGTACTGTAGAGGGTGGCTGGTCTAGTTAAGGGCCCGTGCAGGGTAGACAACGGATTTAAGACCTTCCTTGTGGCAAAACTCGTCCGCATATAGAAGAGGAGGGAACCACTGGAAAAAAAAAAAGCTGTTTTATTAATACTTCTTCTCTTCTTATACTGCTACTGGAACCGCTTGACGACGCCGTGAAAATGGCGCCATCCGTCCTTACTGAAGCAACGTTCATGATCTATTTGCTCTATGGGGGTAGCCTTATGCCCTGTACAACAAGTGTTCTGCAGACTGGTAAAAACAGTGACGCACTTAACCCAGTCTAGTATCCTCCCTTAGTGAGTGGACAAGGGAAACTTGCAAAAACACCTGAGTATAAAGTAGAAGAAGCCTATGCTCGTTTTGGGCAAGGCGCATGTCGAACAATTCAAGACATCACATGCATCTGTTAACCTGAAAGTTATGAAAAAAATGATTCAGTTGCCTTTGATAACACCACTGTTCTTTTTAATTAACATCCTAGGATGTACGACCACAGTGAGCATGAAGAAAGAGCGAGAAAGAAATGCTATGGGCAAAGAGTTATGGATTACCGTTGCGAGAAAACATCAAGGAGTTTAAAAGCCTAGTGATCACCTTTGATCACAAGCGTCTTATATAGAACATGGAACGAAATGCGAAACTGCATAGTGTTAAATTGGATTTGTTATTGAAATTATACTGCCGATGCAGCGACATTTTTTCAAGAAGGAACGTAAAAAAAATTTACACATAGCTAATAGCAATACTCCTTCGCTTAATGTCATACTCATTCTTCATATTCAGCCCACTATCTGCGAGTATTAAGGTAACAGCAGACACATTGTACGAACCCAAATTCATTTGACGAGATTTAAAAATGGCAAAAGCTACTATCAATAACCAGAACCTGTTTTGTGCGGGAATGTCATATAGTTAGATTGTAAATATTCGACAATCTGTTTTTAGCTTTATCTTTATGCTCACGGTGAAGGACAGACCTTCACTCAAATCCCGCGAAGCCGACAACTTGTTTCTCCAAATGCTTCTTTCTTCGAAAACGCAATGCGTAAACTCATACAGAACTACAAATAAAATTGAGGCCGCCCCAACGCTTCTTACATCAATTTATAATGAACATTTTCCATGTTCCATGTCCAAATGTTCTTTTCTAAACCTAAAGCTCTGAAATGACTAATAGCGCCTCTTAAAAACGCGCTATTAGTCATTTCAGTTGGCTAATTAATTCAATTAAAATAAATCTTTTCTAACTGAATGAAATGCTTGAGAGAAATTGAGAGCTACAGTGAAGATTTCTGCTTTGATATATTTGAGCCTTCAGAAAACTAATGACCGACTGTTTCGGTAGCATCTAACGAAGAATGTGTTAACTCACATTTGCTTGACTCTTCCTTGGCACTAACAGGAAAGTTCTTTAAAGAAGTCATCATAGACTGCTTAAAGTTCTTCTTGATCCCGACATCTTCGAGTCTGGTTGTTCCTTCCAATGTGAAGACTTAAATTACTCACGCATACTCCATTAAGATAGTCGCTAACAAGTACTCCTTTCCCTCATCGCGCTTCGCTCGTCAGCAGTATCTATCTAGTTCACTTTTTTCAACACTCAAATCCGGCCGTGAGGCTACACTTCCTCTTCACTGAGCGTTGCGAATCAACATCACCTTTTCAGCATTATTGCAATCGTCGTGATCGACGTCCCTGTCATCAACATCATAACACAAACGCTTCTACATGCAGAATGCAGAAAACCCATCGTTCGATCTATCTAACATAATAATATTCTATTTTCGTGTGAGCCGACGTTTTCAGATCGGTGTTTGCTGCATACGCAGTTGCACATGTCGTTGTCGGTGCCATTATCGCACGGAATAGAAGACCAACAGTATCCGAGGCAATTATCGACATGGTCAAATTCGCTGTCGCTGTTATCCAGGGGGCGCTCGCTTGATTTCGGGCGGACAGTTGGCAGAGACCTAGCGATGATCTTACGCTGTTAGCTGTTGCTAGATCGCCAGCATCGCCGCGTGATCGTGCTGCGGCGTTGGTGGTACTCAGCCACTGATCGTCCCATAAACGTCAGTTCGCTTTACCGTGGCTGGTAGCGGTGGTACTGATGGCGTGTATAAAGCCGTACAGCATGCCCACTGATCACTACGATGCACGACAAATGATGCTGTAGACGCGCAATCCGCTAATGGACCGCTCGTGCAGCGTCAAATGCTTGTACATGCTGTCTTAGTCGCTGTCCACCAATTTCATTGCCACCCTCTCCGCGCGAGCGACTCCCTTTCATGATCTTCGTCTATGTCGATATTGCTGACACCACGACCGCGGCAGCCGAGCAACTCACCTTAGGAACGGCAACATCAACGAAGGGTAGTGCCGCTGCTACGGCTATCCCATCGACGCTGTCAGCATTCGTGAGCGCGTGCGCCCCTTGTCGTTACCACAGACAAAAAAAGTGAAAACCAATGAATTACAGACAAAGGGACAGCTGATCCAACATCGTGATCCTAAGAGCAATGGCTATAGCAGTAGTAATAGCAGTATTAAGTCAAACGGGTCTCTGGTTCGTGTTTACTGTTTGAGTGCCCCAACAAACAGGACATAGTTGCCGGCCGACAGACTGACCGTGCGTTGTCTCCGTAGGTCTACTGGCTAAGCAAAGCGGTCTACATGATGGGAGGCTGATCGAGCTGGTCGCCTCGATCGTCCAAATCCAGATTCGTGCGGTAGAGGCAGTGTCGGTGACATCGATGAACAGTGTCACATGATGCTACACTACCAAACACAGACACAATAAGTATTTGGCACATTGCTAACCTGCGCTGACGATGTAAAAGAAGGATTCTTTAGGGACACGAACGTTTTTGCACGAGAATGCGGGAAGCAAGTTTGGCAAAGCGTAGATTATTAACGGCACCACGTATTTACTAATGTTTTATGCCGTAGCACCAGCAATTCTCGAAATCGTCCCACTTCCTGCTAGTTTGGTGTACAAGTAGGAGCATTTATTGAGATACTCCCATTTACTCGCCAAACTCGTCATATGTAAAATTGTAATGGCGTTTCATAGCGACCCTGACGACAGTTCCAACAAGGTTAATCTCACCTCAACGACGCGGTTAGTGAGTCGATATATGCTATTACATTGTAGGCCTACCTATAGGCCTTGATCGAATGAGAGCCATGATCTCAGACTATTTCTATAGGCCTCCATCAGAAGCGGGCCATTTTATAAAGGCTCCATCAAGTCGTATTAAGCCGAAAGGCTGACATCGATCAGAATGGATTCTCGCAGGGTCTGCGAGCAAAAAAAAAACATCTAGAAAACTTTGCCAAGATCACCTTTCGCTGCACCCTTGTCCCCAACCTGACATACAGGTTCAAATAAGTCCCGCTACACTGCCGTCGTTGCAACAAAGACGACGATAATGGTACAAATTACAACAGCTAACTGGGATCACGGAAGCCCTAGACTAATTCAAACAGTAAAGGGTGTCAATTCTATTAGCTCTATTGAAGGAACGCGATTTCCGCCCACGCTGCCCGGTTATAGCAGTCATCCGGCAGTCCGGACGTCGATAACTCTGTTATCCACCTGTTGCTTTAGCAAAGCACTAAAAGAAGTACCGATTTTTCTCGGCGACTGCTGATGCCCCCTAACACCGACGGTACTAACAAAATAAGGGATTTATGTCACATTAAAAACGCTAGTGGTAGTCACCGGAACTTACTCGCGAATCCTTACTACTCGTTTCTGGTTTTCCGAACGTGATTAACTGATTTTATTTTCTGTGTGCAACAGTAGCATAAGAGAGCTATACAAATAATTGCATTACAGAGCCAATTTGACTGGACAACACATATTTAGCAAAGGCATCTCAATGCTTCTTGATAATCCTTTATTTATATTACGTTATATAAGCATAAATTTGCCCCTGGTAGCAATTATCATCTCTGGTTAAGGGAGACCGCGGATTCCTGCTTAAAGCACATACCATACGACACGTGTGAATAAAAAAAATTCAATAATTTGCGCCTTTGCTCTGACTTTACTGTCGGGGTAATTTAGCTCCTGCGATGTCTCGGCCGATAAGAACATATCAATCAGAAAGATTACGTTACGATCGAATAGTAAGACTAAGTAACCTAAGTGATCTCATTCTCTGGCTATAGAACTGCCGGCAACTGTTTTGAACGATGCATGATATACGTACAATATTGAAGCTTATATGCCTAGGTGAATTTGTTACAACGATAATTATATAATATAATGTAAGTGTTTAAATATGACCACGTTGGACCGTTTTATTGTCTAGCTAGCCGGCTGGTTAACTGATTGTTCTGAGAAGGCTTTGAGCTCTTATATTGCATTCATGTATAGTTCACGTGGTAGTGTTTTCGTTTTATTTAGAAGGTTATCAGGTCTTCTTGGGAAGTAACTTTGCATTATGCTCTTGTTGCGTTGTTGAATGTTGTTTAGGTCTACTGCTTCCTAGTCCATTCCCAGTTTTCCAGGAGAACGGTAGCAGTTCGTTAGCTGCTTGGTAGTGATTATCGTAGCTTGCTTGTTTCTATCTGGTTGGTATTTCTGTCGCCAATGACCTGAATGCTGCTAAACGTGGAGGAGAACGTTTTGAAGGTGTAGGTGGGGGCTAGGGGGGAAAAACGCACTTGACCGAACTGTAAAGCGCGTTACTAACATTATTATCATCACCAACGGTACAGCTACTGACGACGGTGACGATGACTACGATGACTATGGTGGACTGCGTTGTTGTTGGTGCTGTGACCCCATGTGATTCAGGCGTCCATTCAGATTAAAGCGATACCACTATTTCTTGTGGTCGACCTGTTTCTTCGTTCATAGGTCTAACCTCATATTCACTTCTAGCAAGCAGTAAACTCGGTCCTTTGTTTATAGGCTGGCTACCTATCATAGACACATATGCTTTTCTAGTATCGATTCTCAAGCTTCCAAGTGATGCTTCGTACGAGGATTCCGGTTCTGTTCTGATCAGAATCTGATTAAGGATAGGCGAGTCGATAGCTATCTTTTCTCGTACATTTGGAAATCGTAAACAGACTAGTTGCAACGGCCATAAATAATAAACCGAACGGATCAAGAAACGAGTTCAGCAAAAATCTGATCTTGACACTAATGCAATAATAAAATTATAATTGGGATGTAGCTTCTTTTATTACTGCACCTATTCGAGTGGTGTGTAGAACAAAGTTCGTGACGAGCACTCGGTGTGGTACATAGATTTGTAGCCCTGATGTGCTACGTGCCATATAACAATTTCTCTATCTCCAGCAAATGATTTTTGTGTATGTATATAACCAGGTGGAAGGGGAGAGTTTGTCGCCGAACCGGTACGGGCTTGATAAACAACCGTTAGCTAGAACCCAAATAAGGCCGTATCTGATTTATTAGAATACCGCGTGCTTGATGAGAATGTTAATCTCGACAAAGAAGTAACTTGGGAAGCAAGGACGCTTGTATTCATTTCCTTCACTTTTCAGGTTTTCAATTGCGCACGCTTTCCGCCTTCGCGTCTACCAACGGACAATACGACACACGTGAAAATAGGGCCCACTTTTTACTTGGGCAGTTGATAATTAGATAGCATTTTATACGAAAGTAGTCGAATCTTCTATTGCAAAATAAATAACTTACTAGTAATAATAATAATAATAATAATAATAATAGGGAGGTTGAGAACGCCGTCTGATGGCAACACCAGCTATGCTCTTCAAACTGCTGTCTTTATATACCCTGATGATCCTAGACAAGTGATGATGATAACAGGCAGCGATAACTAGAAAGATGACTTCAAAGAAGTCGGCGGTAACTAGAAGGAGGGTAAAAATCAGACTGGCAAAGCAAGTGCCTCACTGGCGCATAACGACTAAATTAACGCGTACCCGCCAGCGCGACACCCACAATCCCAGTATGCATAAAAATTGGACAGCGTACTACTTTGATATAATTTTAACCGATAGCTTTATTGTCCGTATGACTCGAACAGTGAGTAATAATAGGACCCTCACTAACTAAAAAATGTTTTGTCGCAATTATCTATAGGATGCGAGTTTCTATCCACAGACGGCTCCGGTTATCAGATAAGTGCCGTCTACTTATATTTATTTGCCAAAAAAAAAATAGCAATACGGTTTTGTTTACACAACGTTTGATAAATACTTGTCGTTGTTGTCATAGAATAACAAATGTAATTCGTTGAAAAGCTGTGCAGCAAAGAGGCTGGTAGCGCTATATATTGCTAGATGACGCACACCCTGCCTTGCACACCTACTTCTATGACTTCGTGTGCTCACTATCCTACTAACACTGTTGTCTGTCGATGCAGTTCTGCTATATATTTTTTACGAATAAGGTGACTGTGATTGCTGGAGAATTACTATGATATTGTTTCGTATTCTAAAATATGTACGGATAGTGGTTAATAAACATGAGATACTCTCAAGTTCGTTTAACAGGGTACTGCGAAATAGTCCTAGGCATATTGCTCTGAGAGGCAAACCTGTCAATTCGTTTCTGACAGAGTTTGTTTGTTTCAACTAAAGAGCGTTTAGGAACATTTGCATTAAAGAAGCCAATTCATCCTCACCTAGGAATTTCGGAGTAGCTTTGCAGATGACTGGGTCCAATGGAATTACACCGTTGAACCGTACTTCTTACGCGTTGAAAAAGGCGAAATGGTGTGAGTTCTTCCATAGGCTTTGACATGACAGGCGCTCTGTTATGCTGCTCACAGACGGCAATAGGTGATTCCAGGAGTAAAGTATACGAATAGGTTGGATTTGTCCAGGAAGTCGTCCAGGAAGGCGGAGCCCAATGATCGGAACTTAATTTGAATGGTGACTGATAACATCGGAAGCATTGACGCAATTTAAAGATAGCTCTAATAAACGGTGACGTTTTCTTGTTTAAAGGCATCGGTTCCGTGCCTGGATTTCCCGGCGACCCATTATCACTATTCACCTTTAGTTTTTGACTAACTTAATTTGCCGATAATTCCATTAAGCTCACTTTTGCATTCTGATACTTTACTGAACCACCAACCTATCATAACAAGAAACTGAAATTTTTAAGAACATGCCATCTTATCCGCCCAGGTTAATGTCCCACGTAATAGAAAGTCATCATTTTG